GCCCATCCTAGTGCTCAATGCCCATCCTAGTGCTCAATGCCCATCCTAGTACCCCAAGGCCTATCCTAGTACCCAATGCCCATCCCAGTACCCAATGCACATCCTAGTGCCCAATGTCCATTCTAGTACCCAGTGCCCATCTTAGTACCCCAAGGCCCATCCTAGTGCCCAATGCCCACCCTAGTGCCCAATGCCCATCCTAGTACCCAATGCCCATTCTAGTACCCAGTGCCCATCTTAGTACCCCAAGGCCCATCCTAGTGCCCAATACAATCCTAGTATCCCAATGCCCATCCTAGTGCCCAATGCCCACCCTAGTGCCCAATGCCCATCCCAAAACACAATTCCCATCCTAGTACCCCAAGGCCCATCCTAGTACTGGTCTTAATCTTAACCATATCAATACTTGTCTTCAAAATGATCTTTGCCTCTCCTAGGTGGATGGTTATCAAAGCTGTCTGTGCTGGTCCTGGTCCTGTCGTCTGCATCTGTTTTGTCAGAATCTTGGTTTCTACTGGGTTGAAAGAACAGTCATCCTGTCTTTATCCTATGCTTGATCAGCAAAACACCTCCAGGCCTTCTGTTTCCTAGAGACTTCTCACTGAGACTGAGGGCACTGAGCAGGGAACCCAGGTCCTCTAAGTCACCACAGCCTTTCAACCTGTCTGGATAGCTAGGTTCATGACGTAAATGTGCTGCACTGATGTTTAGTCCTCCGGAGAATTCCTTAGGAGGTTTTCTGTCCCACCATCATAGGGCAGATTCCTCTTGGAAACAGCCGAGAGTAACAATTTGGAAAGACTGCTCCAGTTGACATTGGGTTCCCAAGCAGGGTATGGAGGGGTGAACAGGGTGGAACGGCCAATCAGAGGAGCCCAATACGCATCCTTGTCATTGCTATGCTAGTGTATGGGCACATCCTGCCAGAGCATCTGCTTCATCAGTCCAGTTGACTGGTTTGGGGTCAAAGGTGCTTCCTTCACCAGCTCATGTGGCCCCATTCTCAGCCAGAAAGTCCGTTAGGGACATGGTCTTCCACTTCCTCCTCCTCCCCCTCCCCCTTCTCCCCCTTCTGCTCCTCCTCCTCCCCCCCCCTCCTCCTCCTCCTCCTCCTTCTTCTTCTTCTGTGGTGAGGCTGCCATATTGTGGGAAGAGGAGAGAATGCAAACTTTCACTTGTATTTTTTCAGTAGGGAGCCATGGACCACACCAGGGACAAGGGCAGCAGGAAGCCTGGTGGCCCTGCCTCTCAGCCCAGAGGGAGGATAATGATGACATTTATCAGAGATGGAATGTGCCTGCTCTTATCTCAGCTGACAGCAAGGATGCCAGACATATTCCTAACGATCACAGCACTGGGGTACAGTTGTCAAGTCCCAGGAGCCACTGAAATTGCGGGAACTATACAGGGAAACCAGGTCAGAGTTATTCCTGACCTTCCTGATGGGTGTGACTCAAGATGGCTTCAGTCAAGCCAAGCGGGATCCCTGGACACATTCAGCCTCTGATGTGTTAGCCAGCTGGCTCCCCTGGGCTCCCTGACTTCTCTTTATCCTGACCTTTTCTCTCAAGGTGTCAGAGAGCAAGTCCTGTGCTGTGTTCCTGTATAGACTTCTCACTCTCCAGAGACCCTTTTCCTCCAGACTCTGCAACCTGCGGTACAGCTAGATTACCCAGGGACACTTGTTTCTGTCAGGCTGAGCTGAGCTCAGGCCTGTTCCTTCCCATGGACTGACTGAGCTCAGGGATCTGTGTGCAGATGTGTGTGCGGCTCAGCTGTAGAGGGGCCAAGAAAAACAGCTGGACAGCGCCATTCTTACACAAGATGACTTCTTGTTTGCTTCTTAATCCCTAGGAAAGCATAAGGACGGTCTTTCTCATGGTGTCCCTGCCAATTTGCACACAGGACCAGAATGGCCCTTCAGACTGTCGTTCTGATTAACTGATGGCTTGATTTTCTCATGGGTTTCATTACCCTTATAAGAAAGATTTCATGCTGCCCAGAGATGCCTGTTGTATCCAGCCATGTTGGCATGTACAGCCATACACAGAGGGACTGACTCTGGGTGGGGGAGTGAGGAGGAGTGGTGGAGAAGAGGGCAAAGACGTTGGCATGTTCTCCATTTCATCTTTAACACGGGAGATGAAGTCCAGCTGGACTTTCTGAGGAGTCTTCTGAGAACATCCTTAGATGGCCCTTTCCAGGGAAAAGAGAGATGTCCAACATGGAACTGCCTCAGGGAGGGATAAATCTCCCATTCCGATAATCAGATGAGATGTTCCTGTCAAGTTGTCTTCTAAACATTTGTGTTCACACCTGTAGATGGCTTTTCCAGCCTTGGACAGTATGAAGGAAAATCAGGTACTGGG